TTTTTGGCCAGGTTCTCACTTAAGTGACAGTGTGACCAAAACTTAGGGCCTTATTGCCACTCTGTTATCATTTTGGGTTGAGGGTCTCAGCATGTCATTCCTAGGTCATGGTGACCTCATGGTCGCACATTTCTTTTAGCTTTTGTCATTCCACTTGAAGAGAGACCATTTGATGCTTTAGAGCTGGCTATGTACAAACATTAAAAACCTTAGAGAATACAGCACATCAGGGAGACTATTATGGCTATCGGGAGGATAATACCAAGAATTTGGAGTACACAGGGTCCCCATACACCAAATCCTAAAAGTAAATAGAGAATGAGCTGGATGAAGAGTCTACTCGCTTGACTAAGTAGTCTTTTCATTAATCTCCTACAGCTGAATTTGTATAATCTACATTTGACGTATTTCTTCACAGGCCACAAGTGTCCACAGATGCCCAGGTACTTTTCTGTTTCGCGAATTCTGTTATTCAGCATGACTTTCACGAAAGAATTTAAAGTCTGTTGTATAATGATACCCTTTAAAGTAGACTCTGCTGGCCGGGCGCAGTGGCTCATGCCTGTAATCCCAGCACTTTGGCAGGCTGAGGCGGGAGGATCACCTGAGGTCGGGAGTTTGAGCACAGCCTGGCCAACATGGTGAAACCCCATCTCTACTAAAAATACAAATACTAGCTGGGCATGGTGGCACGTGCCTGTAATCCCAGCTACTGGGGAGGCTGAGACAGGAGAATCGCTTGAACCCGGGAGGCGGAGATTCCAGTGAGCCAAGGTCATGCCACTGCACTCCAGCCTGGGCGACAGAGCGAGACTCCGTCTTAAAAACAAACAAAAAGAAAGGGTCGGGTGTGGTGGCTCATGCTGTAATCCCAGCACTTTGGGAGGCCAAGGCTGGCAGATCACCTGAGGTCAGGAGTTCGAGACCAGCCTGTCCAACATGGTGAAACCCCGTCTCTACTAAAAATACAGAAATTAGCTGGGCGTGCTGGTGGGCGCCTGTAGTCCCAGCTACATGGGAGGCTGAGGCAGGAGAATTGCTTGAATCCAGGAGGCAGAGGTTGCTGTGAGCCGAGATCGTGCCACTGCACTCCAGACTGGGTGACAGAGGGAGACTGTCCCCTCACCCTAAAAAAAAGTAGAATCTGCCATGGAGCCTATCACGAGGGATACATTCTAATTATTGCCACGTTTATTCTAAACCATGGAAAAAGGACCTAACAAATGATGTCCTTCTAGAAGAGTGAAGGTGGTGTTTCCTTTAACGCATGATGTGGGTTAAAAGGCGTGAATGAATGTTCTGCTTCTGACTTATTATGAGGCAACATATGTACCATTAAAGTTTTTCACCTACACTGGGCCTTTATCTTTTATCTATTAAAGTAGAAGCTTATTCATATATAAGGCTGGCTGTAAACTCCTTTACAAATAAAAGTATACTCCATAAGTGCACATAATAGACTCCTTTTCCACTTCTATTGTTCATAGAGGCATAAATAAGAAAAAATAATCAAAGATAAGAGTCTCATGATAATAGAAAAATCTTTTTTGTTTTGTTTTGTTTTTTTGAGACAGAGTCTCACTCTGTTGCCCAGGCTGGAGTGCAGTGGCATGATCTCGGCTCACTGCAACCTCTGCCTCCCAGACTCAAGCAATTCTCCTGCCTCAGCCTTCTGAGTAGCTGGGATTACAGTCTCGCGCCACCACCGTGCCTGGCTAATGTTTTAAATTTTTAGTAGAGAAGAAGTTTCACCATGTTGGCCAGGTTGGTCTAGAACTCCTGACCTCAAGTGATCCTCCCACCTTGGCCTCCCAAAGTGTTGGGATTACAGGCGTTAGTCCCTGCGCCCAGCCTAGAGAAGTCCTTTTTTTTTTTTTTTTTTTTTTTTTTGAGACGGAGTCTCGCTCTTTCTCCCAGGCTGGAGTGCAGTGGCATGATCTTGGCTCCGCCTCC